ACTTAAAAATGAAGAATTCAAGAGAAGCCATAAAAAAAAATAACCAAAACCCAGAAGAGCAAAATCAGCAGTATATACAGTAAGTCATTGAAGATTTATAGTTACACACAATAACATGAACAACCATAGATTATCTCGGAAGAAAAAATACAGATACAATGAAAACCAGAAGCTTCACAGAAAATACCCAATGAAACAAAAAGAGATGAAAGAACCAAAGTAGAATAGGGAAGCAAAGAGGAATGTTTTGGAGGCTTTTGACTTTTGAGGGTGTAAATTAGTTTGGAGCAGTTGAAAAGGGAACCGTAGAGTGGAAGTAACCGGCGGGAGAGAAGGTAGACACAGAGAGAGAGAGAGAGAGAGAGAGAGAGAGAGAGAGAGAACCAATACGAATTACGAAGAAGGAAGCAGAGGATTTATTTAGGCGTTTAGCAGGAAGGCGCATGTGGAGCTTTTGACTGGCTGTTTGGGGCCACGTCTCAAAACCACGTCAACTACGTGTGTCGGTAATTGGATAGACCACCATATCTCTACAGTTGCCTTATTTGGACAAAGGGAGATCGCATCACTTGCCTCGCTCCCGTTGTAATTTTTCTTCAACGCCGGTTCTCAGTCGTCGGATATCTAACATCACCAATCCTGTGGGTATGATTATGATCGAAATTGTTTTAATAACAAGTGATTCAAATTCAGATACTTAAGGCGGACACACTATCTTTATTAATTAATATTTTTTAATATATAACGATTAATTATTAAACTAAATCCTATGAACGATTAACTAACTTAATTCACGTCTATAAATACATCTATGTTTTTAAGTCTTTTGATGACCCGGACCTCGTGCTTGGGGTATCATATGATATACTCACATGGCACTGCTTTCGCATGATTTCCAGGAGCTTTTCCTCATGTGCATGTAGACAAGTTTAGCTGTTGGTTTAATTAGCAATACTTTTATTTGCTTTTTCAATTCATTTTTCACCAATGGAAGTAAGATCAATGCTTACTGCGGGGGATACATTATTAGTTGTTGGGGTGGTCCCGAGGTTTAGATGTCTTCAACCACCTTCACCAATGGAAGTAAGGCGTCCGGTCCTCATTCGATAGGTTTGTTTTGTTCAAGTCCAACAGTTGTCGGCAGATGGAAAATATTGAATTGAATACTGCTTCCCTCTTTCACTAGAGTGAGACATTATTATTTTCTGCAAATTACAGTTTGATACATATAAGAGCAATCACAATGGGCTCCCTAAACCACCTCTTTAGACAAATTTTAGGGAGCAATGGTAAAAATGCAACTCCAACAACGCTCCCTATCCACCTCCTAAAATAGGGCGTTCTCTAGGAGCTCCTAAATCTGAGGAGAGAGAAAAGACTCCTAGTGGCTCCCTATAATTTAATGCTGCTTTATTTAATGAGTATTTCAAACCTTTATTTAATGCTAACTATTTTTATTTTATTTTTTAATAGAGATGGGCCAATTAAAAAAAAATTATAGCATTTATGACTCTCTAAATTATGGAATATGGTTGAAGTTGAAATTTTTTAGAGAGATCCTAAAATAGCTTTCTTATATTCTTAGCCAAATTTTAACTAAGAAATAGAGAGCATCATTGTGGATGCTCTAATTGACAGAAAAATACAAGTTTCTACTTCCAAAAAAAATAGGCAAATATTTTCCTATTGGATTTGGTGTCCATTGTAAAAAAGTCTGTCACTTTCCACGACATTTTGAAAAAATCTAGCCCGCAGACAATCATCTCATATTCTAACACGTGGCGCATAAATGGAGCGTCTACGCGGTTTTTCTTTTCTTTATGCAAATTCAACCCAAATAATTCTTTCTAATATATTAATGTGAAGTTTTTGTCATAGTCATTGAATGAATGTGATATGATGTTGCTTTCTCCCCACAGCGAGGAAGGAGGGGAGAGGAATAATCTCACACACACGTTGTTCTATGGAGGATTGAACCGCAAACCACTAACCGACATGCTAATAATTCTACCACTAATTAAGACTCCATTAGCGAATGAATGTGATGTTCGCACACGTATTATGATATTTTAATTTTTTGTTATAGTTTTTTTTTAAAAGGAAAAAGACCTCCATTTGTTAGCAGTTGAATGCAATTTGTTTGTTTTCGAAGATCTGATGGGACCCAATTGGAGAAGATAAACTTACCGGTGGATGAATTGGCTAGCTTTTTTTATGAAAGACTTGGCTAGCCATATTCAAAGGAATTAAAACGAAAGTACATTCATACCCAATAATGGTCAGTAGAACGGTCAAAGCTGATGCAATCTCCAAATTCATATCTATATATCCATTTGGTGGGATTGGACCCTGGTCATATCACCTGGAGTCGGAATACGGAAGGGCGGAGCCAGGATTTTATTGGAGGGATGGGCTATCATTGGCATTAAAAAATATATATACTAATACAACATGCAACTAAGTTTTTGGTCTTAATTAACAAATAAAATAAGTTTATGGTTTTAAGTAACCGAGAAAATAAGTTTGCAGTTTCAAAGCTGCATTTTTGGACTTTTTTCGCTTATTAACGGGTGAACTTTGTTTTACATGGGCTGAACTAGAGTAGGCTATATGTGAAAAAATATAAATTTATTAAGGAAAAATTGCTTTGCACCAAACTTTGCAGAGCCCACACCTGGTTACGCGCTTCAATGAAGAATACTTATCATTTTCAATTTAATTTTAGTCACCAAACATGAGTACTTGAATAATGTTAAGTGCTCATTTGGTATTGCTTATTTGGAAGTGATTTTTAATAAAATTTAAGAAGCACAACCCGTTTCATAAATTATGAAAAAATCATTTATTGTTAAAAATTGATGTGAGAGAAAGTTATAAGGGAAAACAGTTAATAAAGTACCTTCATTTTCTGATTATGCAGGAATCAGTTTCAAAGAGGCGCTGGATTTAATGATTATGTGGCAATCATTTTCTAATTATGCGGGAATTAGTACAAACAACACTTTTAACAAAAAGTTTACCAAACGCCGAACTGCTTTCTCTCACAGTAAATCAGACAACGATTATTTTCACAGTACAACAATGCCAAACTGGCCCTAAATCTTAGTCTTTACATTTTGCGCTTTTGCTATATTCTATGCTTCAGCTTTTTTTTAGCACAACATGTTGATTCAATGCCCTCATGATTCTCTTCTCCTCCCTTTCAAGCTAGCTGCATTTTCATTATTGTCTCAGCCCTCTTTGTCAATAGCCTTTAAGTATTCTTCAATGGCACTGTGACAACATGAGTTAACTCAGACCAATTAATTCAGTATTTTACATCACAAGGATTAGTGTCTTTGTAAAATTACATCACAACGAAGCCTCCACAACTAGGGTTATTTTGGTTTTTTTTTAATTTTTTTAATTTTTAAATAACCAGGTTCACTAATTGTTTTGGTCTGGTTATCTATTCACTAAGGTGATTTGTGCATTTTCCATGAAAATTAAAATATTTTAAAATTAATTATTCAAGCTTATAATTATTTAGCCTTTTTCCTAAGATGTAAGAAAAATGAAAACCCTAGCCACTCTCTCCCTGAGTCTTAAAGGAAAATTCAATATAGGGGGAAGAGGAAGAAGCGTCACTGCCCCTCCTCCCCCTCTTCTCTTCTCGTCTTTTCCTTTTAGGTTAGTGAATAAGTCCATTATGGTGGTTTGAATAAAAAGCCTCTTGTGGTAGTTTCTTCTAAGCCATGGTTAGATTGAAGTTCCTCATCACTCCTTTTAGTCTATGTTCTCAATCAAATTCTACTCTCTAACGCCGTTTATATTCTTTAAATTTGATTTTACATCATATTTGACGGAGGTTTTTGCAAATTACTCAATTGTTCTTCGGCAAAGTTATTGTTTTCGTTTATTTGTTCGCTCTTATGTGCAGGTAGATCGCTGGAAATCATATTTTTCCCAGATTTGTTACAGATGCAGTGGTAAGTGTGGTTGTGATGACGCTTCTTTAGGTGGTGGTGGTAGGGTTTGTTTAGACTCATGGGTTGATTTAGGGTTTTGGTTATGTTGGGTTTCTGGGCTTTATGGCTAATTATGGTAATATAGGCTAGTAGTTTTTGTGCGACTTTTGTCCGGGTTAGTTTTGCTTTTAACAAGTTAGTTTGTTGCTCTCTTGAGATTGATATTTTAGAGTCTTGTTAATGTATTTGATTGTACCATTAAAGTTTCTATTTGATTAAAAAAAAAAACTTATAATTATTTGTATTACCAAAAAAAACTTTTAATTATTTAATTATATGATATTTTCCTCAAATTTTCATTAGATATGAGCACGTGACTTGCATGAAAGGATCTACAAAAGGGCGAGTAAAGGAACTTGCCTTCTGGTTCAACAAAAAAAAAAAAAAAAAAAGGAACTTGCCTCCACTCATCTAATTTCTTGTCTACTTCCTAACCTAACAATAATGTGAGTAAATGAAAACTAGGCAGTCACATTCTAAATAAATAAATAAATATTTTTTTTTATTAAGGTCACATTCTAAATATTAATTTCCCCAATAAACTCAAGTTCTTAACTTTTTTGGTTAATGAATTTAAAATCTTTTTCTATTTTTGGTGAAAAGCTTTTTTGAGTACAAACGATAGTTTAACCTATAAGGAGAGAGAATTTTTCACACATACTACTAATGTGCCATGCGATTCGAACCTAAATCACTGATCTGTAAAAGTCATTTTCTACTAGTTAGACCTTGTTGGTATTTATGGTGGGAAACTTAATCTACTAATTTGAACTATAGTGGCAAGCAACCAACAAATTTATCAGGTTGTTGGTGACTTGGCAAGACATAAGTGGATAATCTATATCATCTTTAGAGCAAGTGGGACCTAATTAAAATGACACCTCAAAAAAGGAAAAATAAAACAAATAATGCAGTGAATCTGAATAACATGCCCAAATTGCACTTGCCCTCTCTTCTTACCATACGCAGAAAAAACGCAACAAAACAAAATAAATTAAATCTGTTGACTTATTGACTTTTTCAGACAGCTCCCAACTTCCCCATCGTGCAATTTCTCCCAGTCTTAACTCCTAAGAAACGTTTCTCAAACTCCCCAAATCACAACACAAACAAAATATCTCAAAAAAAAAGAAGGAAAAGAAAGAACAGTTAGAAGTAAAAACGATGGGCGTAGATGAAAAGAAGAAAGGAGCAGCAAGTGATCATCAGCAGTATCCGCATCCACCTGAGTATGGAACGTTCCAAGGCGTAGCCAACTATCCGCCGCCGCCGCCGCCCCATCAGCCACCGCCACCGCCACCGCCGACCGGATTCCCTCAGCCGGTTCCGCCGCCTGGAGCCGCCGACCCTCCTGCTCCTCATCCTCAGTACTACACTCAGGGATATCAAACTGTTCAAGGTATGGCATCACTTTGTTTTGTTTAGCACAAAGGACTTAGTTTGTTGATATTTTTGGGTTTCTTTTTCTTGTTTAGTGGAGCAAGTGCATAGTGTGAATGAGATTAAAAATGGGTTTTTTGTGTATGTTGTGATGGGATTGGATGCTGCAAGAATGGATCAAATTCTAATGTGTCGTTCTGGGTTGGAATTGGTTTGACTTATTTAATCATTTGTATGGATAGAAATAAAGACCATACTTTTGAGCTTCAACCAACCTCAATTTTTGGCTATGGCAAGTATCCCCTTTTCATTTGCAGAGCTTGTCACTGTTTGATTTGCTGCTAGTGACTAGATCAGCTCTATGGTGGTTGTAAAGGGTTCTTTTTTTTTTTTTCTTTTTTTTTTTTTTTGTGTTTGGAATTTTGTGATTTTTTTGTGTTTGGAATTTTGTGAGTGAATGACTTGGGTATGTGTGTTTGATGCTTGCATTCCACTTTGTGTTTTGGGGATTAACTGGATCTTCATTCTTTACCACTCTTCTTGATGAATGATAAATAGTTGTTGTCATAGATGCTTTATTCTATATGATAAAATGGCTTTGCTGTTGTTGTTGTTGTAGGCTATGCAGTTGCTGAAGGAAGACCAGTAAGAGAGCGCCGCCTTCCTTGCTGTGGTATTGGCTGTGGCTGGTTCCTGTAAGTTATACTGTTTTGTATTTGAAATAGCTTTCCATAAGATATGAGTCATATGACATTGTTCTGTAGTTATTTCCAGTGTGTTTGGTTCTTATGTCCTTCAATATGAAATTTCTGAATAGAATGTAAAAAACAGAAAAAAGGAAGGTTCCAAACTAACTTCCAATCTCGATTTATTGGTTAAGGATTTAAATGGCACTGAGCTGATATTTTCAACTAGCATGGTTAGGATGATCTTTAAGTACTGGAAACCTTTAATCAATACATGGCAAGCAAAGTTTGATCAAGGCTTCTTAATGTTCTTAGTTTTATTGAGCAAAATGGTTTTCTATTGTGGAAATGGTCAAAATAGCATAGCTTGAACTTTCTCTTGTCCACGTACTGGCGGGCCGTGGACACAATTGTAGTACAAAAGTTAACCTTTCTTATGTTCAAAGGTGTGAAGGAATTGAGACGTGCAGAAATCCAATAAGCCGGAGAGATTGTTTGGGGCTTGAATCAAAACATAGTGTTTTCATTAGGACTCTTCTCTCATCATACCGACTGTGCTTTCTTTTATTTTCCATAGAAGAATAATAGGATCTGTCTTCCATGCTTTGTGCTCTTCTATCTCTCTGTTATCTTAACTTCAATATAAATGTGTTAAGTTTCTAATTATAAAGGATCTATGCTCTTTATTTTGAAGGTTTATTATTGGTTTCGTCCTTGCTACCATCCCTTGGTATATTGGTGCATTGATCATGCTATGTGCCAGGATAGACCACCGAGAGAAACCAGGATATATCGCTTGTGTAGTTGGTGTGAGTAACGATTATTTCCTTTCATTTAGATTTTTGGAAGGATCTGTTTACACGTTATGTACCTCCAAGTTTTTTATATTAGTCAAGAACTTACCTCATGGCCATTCTAAAGTTTTGCCTCTCTGATACTTTATTTAATACCGCTCTATGTGCAGGCTGTTCTTGCTACAATTGCTATCATCCTCGGTGCAACAAAGGGAGGTAATGCCTGGTAATCTCAGAGGGAGGAATTGTATAGCTTGCAAGATTGATAAATACACGAGTCCAGATTCTTGAAAGGCTATATGTGGATGTCAATCTGCTTATGAGTTATATTATACTGTTTGAACTTGTGAAAGTCAGTATGATATCTTTGATGGTTTATATTTGATGATGCTATCTATTTGTCAGTGATCCAAAGCTCCAAGTGTGAACAATAATAATCGAAATTTGTTTGGTTTAAAATTCGGAGGCCAGAGATGTTACCTCATTAAGTTTCCCTCCGATCCTAATCAAGAGGCCTTTCTTTTGAGTCAACGGGGAGGGAGATTTGAACTTGAGACGTCTTTCTGTATTGGGGAAAGAAATATCACAATATCAGCAGTTTGTTGATGAGAGACTCGTATCAAAAAATATAAAGAAACCATAGAGCCTACTGATAAGCAGTGGTCGGTGTTTGGGCTTATATGCACTGACAATCTCGTCAACCGATGTACCAATGTGTAGGATTTGTAGGAGAGTTGTGTGCCAGTTTATAAAAACTTTTGAAGATCATGTATGAACTTGGAAAATGATCAAAAGTTTGGGGACATGAGCTGTATGTAGTTGACTCTACCTTAATCTTAATCTATGATGTTTCCTTCCCAACAGGAATTAACATTGCAAATTGCGAAACCTAAAGGCGGGTGGCATGTTGATTTGATTGCTATAACTAACTTGGACTCGAGTACCTTTGAAAGCATTGTTTTTTTAGTTGAGTGATATGACTAAAATCTTAAGTTTGTACAACGAATGACAAATGATCTTCTCATGTATGCACGCATTTGGCTCCAATTGTATCATAAAAACAATGCAAATCCTCCAGCTCTGCCTGGTTGTTTCATGTCTATTTATAATTCCAAAGCTGTATCTATCCATCCACGGACTTATATTCTAAGCCAGTGGAAACTAGTGATCTCAAGGTCGAACCCAATAACACCTTAGTAGTATGTGTGAGAAACCCCATCCCCTCTCCGGTATGGACTTGCGTTTCCAATCTAGACTTTGACTGCGGAGATTTTGATTCTTGCCATGGCTATGATTTTGATCGTTTTCACATGTTTGTTGAGCGTGTACTTTCCTTGACTGATTCATCAGACCTAAAAAAGGTTAGTCTCAAAACTGAGGTTACGGACTTTGCTCGCTTTGAGGGTTTGGATTTGCACTGTAGTTAGGCGTAATGTGGTTGAACTTGATCTTTTCCTTTAGGCTGACAATGAAAAAGAATACACTTTTGTGTTGCTTAGAAGCGTTTTTAGCTGCAAAACCCTCAAGGGTCGCTTTGTATTTCTGTTCCTTATGCTCCTCCTGCTTCACAGTGTTTTCCAAGTCTCAAGTCCCTCCATGTTTCAGATGCTTTTCCTTGTTTATCTAATCTCCAAATTCATTAACGTTTTATTTTAACTGAAATATTTGATCCACATTCATCAGATTCTTATCTAGTTTGTTGGATTTATGAGTTCCCTCAACGTCGTATTCAAAATACTTCGGACTTTGTTTTTCTCAATCCAAAGTCAGGCCGCTTTGGTTGCTGATTGGTTAATTTTCCATAGTCAGCGCTGCTTTGGTTCCTCATAGGTTAATTATGGATAACATTTCTATTTGGGCATGCAATCTTATCCACTCTGCCCCAAAAGAACTTTAAAAATCTCGCCTGGCTATTAAATTAGATATGAAAAAAGCTTATTATAGAATTAGAAGTTCTGATCTCTTGGAGCATAGGGGATCAAGAGGATCAAGAGATTGTGGTCACACACTGTTGGATTAACACCTAATGGTTCAAAAAAGTTTCTTAAAATGAGTGCAAGAGTGAGTGAACCGTTGAATTTACATCCCAACTAGTAACACAATTCTTAATCCATTGAACCCAAGTATTAAAAAAACCTATCACAAAAATAAAATAAAATATATATTAGAAAAACCGAACTATAAACCTCATCACCTTCTTCATCAAATCTTCAATTACTCACTCTTACTTGACAATGGGGAACACTTAAAAGTAATAAAACCTAAGTTTAAGAAGTTAATTTTGACTAATGGGTTAAATCGTGGTTTGGAAGCCTCTAAATAAGGTATCAATTGACATTATTTCAATTTATTTTTGAAGTTTTACGAATTTCGCGAATTAGTGGTGTGGTTTTATTCCCTAAGCTAGTATCGAATACATATAAATCTTTCAATGGTCACCAAAACTATCATCAAAGGTTTGGTGGCTTCCCATCAAACGAATTTTGACTCCAAAATGAAAATGAAATCTTCAATGGGTGGGAGGTATCAGAACATTCATTTCGATTTTTCATAAACTAGATCGGAACAAAAACCTGAAAATTCCGTCATATTAAAAAAAAAAAAAACCTCACAACTTCATCAGAAAAGCAGATCCTAAAGCCTTACAAACATACGCTAAAGAAACACAAAATTGAAAAATAAAAATAAAAATCATCAATCTAAAGCAAGTCATTCGCAATACAAAATATGAATTAGGTTCGGTGTGTGTAGTGGAAATTTCCCAATTATCTCTTTTGGCAGTTTCTTTGTTACCTTAGATTTCTCTTCTGCTTGCTTTGTTCACTCTTCGAAAAGACGAAAGAACACACCCAGGCTTAAGCTGCCAAGGAAAGCAAAGAAGAAAAAACCAGCTAAGAATGATGTCAGCGTAACGCCACAAGCAGTGAGACTCTGAGGGAGTCTGAGAGAAGCGGAGGCATCGTGATTTTCGATGAAGAATAAAGCACAGAAAACCCAAAGGGCAGAAGCGAAAACCCCAAACCACTCAATCTCTTCATCTTCAGCTTCAATTCAACCACCTGGCTCCGTATGTTCTCTTCACTCGTATCTTTTTCTTATTTTCTCATCTGGGTTTCTCTCGCTTCTCACCAACCACTCTTTAGCTGCGGCTGTTCTTCTAGCGCGGCTAAAACAATTGAAAAAAATCGAATCTTTGTTGCAGGTACGCGAGAAGCAGCGGTGATATGTGCCGACAAGACTCGCGTGTGCGAATGTCGGCGGAGGAAGAAATGGCTGCGGAGGAGAGCCTCTCTATCTATTGCAAGCCTGTTGAATTTTACAACATTCTTCAACGCCGCGCTATAAGAAATGTAGTACCTTTAAAAAAAAATATTCCTTTCTCTATGTATATATATATATCAGAAGAAAATCAAAATGTTTTCTTTGTTTCTGAATCTTTGGTTGCCAATTTGTAATGGGTTGTGTGCATTTTTGGTGTGCAGCCTTCTTTTCTCCAAAGATGTTTGAGCTACAAAATAGAGGCCAAGCACAAAAGGAGGTAATGATAACAATAAAAATTTCAACTTCTGTACATGTATAATTCGTATATGCTAGATTTTACTGATTGGGTTGTGTTGGCTGAACTTTAGAATACAAATGACAGTTTCCATTTCGAGGAATGAGAAGGAAGGTGTACAAACCCAGAATCTCTTTCCTTTGTACGTGTTTTTGGCCAGATTAGTTCCTGATGTTGCAGTTCCAGAGGTATTTGTATGCAAATTTTTAAGTTCTTATTTGATGATCCGTGTGTTGCTTAGTGCATCATGTTATGCCTTTGCTAATGACATTTGGCAGCAATTTTTGGCGCTTTAGTTTACGGTTTTATCTACATATATCTGATATGAGTTCTGTCTTTTTGAATGTATAAACAAGTATTCTGCTACATATCGATTCAGTCGAGCTTGCATGTTAAGCAATTCCACTGGGGTTGATGGGAGCAGTCAACTTCAAGCTAATTTTATTCTGCCTGACATTAATAAGCTAGCATTGGAGGCTAAATCTGGCTCACTTGCCATCTTGTTTGTCAGCTTTGGTATGCATTCGTGAAACTTTGATAATATGGAAGCAGATTTTATGTGGATGTCATTGCAATCTTTGGGCTCATATATTATCCTTGCAGTGGGAGCACAGAATCCATTTCGTGGAATCAATTTATCCAAGGGTCCTGTGGATATGGCTTCTTTTCCCTGTAAGTTAAGCCTTACTTGCTAAGCTTTGCCACATATCATTTTGACATGTTGTTTAACAGATTAAACGTTATTGGCTAACTTAAGTTAGGAGTCATAACTCTGACAAGTCTGACATGTTTTGGCAATTTGGATTTATTCACTTAACTACATAACTTTAAGTTCTACATGACATAGGCACGTAGCACTATAGAGACCATATGTTTAACTGTTTGAGCCTTTTACAACTTTATGGAATTATTGGAGTTAAGCATCTCTGATTTTAAAATTGAACTAGAGATAAACTGGAGATAAAGTTGTTGATACAATTCTGAAATAACTCAGAAATTTTATGCAAGGCGTAAGAAGAAGAAAGACATCTCTTGTCAAGCTCAAATTTTATAATTTAGAACCATAAAGATAAAATCAGATCACCAATCACCCAGGGGACCAAGTCAAAACTTTAGAGTTTTGACATATTTTACCCAACAATAAAAAAAGATAAGACATGATGAGTAAGTTTCATGCCCTTTTCTAATCTCAAGCGATAATAAATGCTTTTTCACACCACGATATGTGGAGTGAAAGGTGAAGCATTCTTTTTTACTTGTAATATTGAGACTTATTTTCCAAGTTTATTCTTCTTATACTTACGAGATTGATTACGTAAATCAATATCAATTTTACTTGGCAGCAAATGCTGGAGGATATTGTCTGTGGAGCCAGATACCATTGGAATTACTGTATATCTCTTGGGAAAATTCTCCTAATTTTGGTTTAGGACAGAGAGCTGAGATGATCTCAACTATTGACATGCACTCTTGCTTCTTGAAGGTATGGCATCATCAGATGATTCTTGAATAATCATATGTCTTCTTCCTTGACAAAGAGGAACTGGTTAACAGTGCAGCTAAACCGAACTTGTAGTTGTAAAAAAAAAAAAAAAAAATCATTGTTCTCTATTTGAATCTCTTATTCATGATTGGACCAAAATAATAGGCCTTCTTTCTTCCACTCTCAGTTTGATTTACATGTTCCAATTTCCCTCTTGCAGTTGAGCTGTTTAAATGAGGATAAGTGCCTTATGATTGCAACTCCATATAATCCAGAAACTGTTGTATGTTATCTTCTCAGTGTTTTCTCCTTTAATTCAATAATGTTGATCTCTCTCTCTCTCTCTCTCTCTCTAGACACACACACACACATACACACACACTATCCAACATTTCTCTTCTAGGCAACTGTTGCTGATGA